TTCAAGTCTGCTCTTTATGTATTCTCTAACGCGATAACTTCATAGGAGCTGGGTCAGGATTAATCTCATTGCTTTGGTGTACTCTCTGAGGTTTGATTTTTTTCCCCCCTACACACATTTTGGAACTGATCACTGTGTTTCAGCATGACAGCTTTTAAAGAAAGAGGCAGACAGGCTCTTAATAGTTTAAGACCTAGTTTCTGTATATATTTGTGAAAGAAAACAGCTGTGCTATTATTTACTTGTTATATTAAACAATTTTTTTTAACAGAAGTATGTTTCTAATACTGAAGAGTTGGACACAGCATAATAATTAGATACTAAAACTGAGATTAAATATCATTCCTTTTACTACATAATATGATTTTCTCAAATAAAACACTTTTTGTTATCATTGGTGAGGATGAGCAAAAGATTTCTGGAAGTGCAGCGGAACTGTAACACCATCTGAAATCTTAAAGAATTAATTGCGAGTGCTTGCCCTGTAGTCAGTCGTCTGTTTCATGAGCAGTAATAATGTTATGTCTGTTCTGGAAAAGGAAATATTTAGCAAATAGAACATGTGATATTCTTTGCTTTGTTACTTTTTTCTCCAAAAATATAACCATATAATATAACTTTCCTTTAGATTCAGTGAGCTAAGGATTTGTCTGTTCCTTTATTTTAGGGAATTCCACTTTTCCCTGATTTGAGGAAGCTCAGGCTATTTAGCCATAGCAAATGAGCCGCTATTGTTTTGGACTCATCTATGTGCGGTGCTTGACACTTTGTATAGGGTATTCAGAGCTCCTGCCCTAGGTAAATCTGTATTGCACACCCAAGATAATTTTAACTGTTATTAGCAGGGATTACAGCTAGCAAGAGAGGCAGAGTAGCATGCTGTTCTCTACTAGCAAATACTACTCCTGAATATTTCTTCAACTTCCAAGAGATTTTGGAGCATGCACTGAGCTCTCACTGCTAGAGCTAGTTCAGAGCTAACGTGGGGGTACCTGTGTGAATGATGAGTTTGACATGAGCACATTGCTTCTAAAAGCTGTGAGGCATTTTTCTGTTTCTCTTCGCTACCCTGTTCTCCCTTTGCGTTTCTCTTTGTGATTCTTTCATATCCTGTCTAGAGCTTTCAGCCTCAAGTATGTGTTCTTTCTTGTCTGGACAATGGCCTGTAAGTTGTTTTAGGCTAGAATATATTGCATCATTTTGAGGGGAGGAAGGCGTTTTGTTGTCGTTTGGTTTTTGTTTCTGATCACTGGTAGCTATGAAGGTTTCACTCCTTTGCTGAGGGACAACAGGTGATGTAATAGTGCACTTCACTGTGAGAGACTGAAACTTAAAGGTTGTAACAAACCCAGCTGATGGAAAAGAGCCCTGCCGTGGCAGTACGTTGTGTAGCCTGTGTTCTGTGTTTGCCCCAGCTGCTCAGGATGGGAGACGCAGTCTCACAGCAAAACGCAGCATCCTGTAATAAGTGCATGTGAAGGTGTGAATGTTGTGGAAGCCAAAGTCTCAGAAGCAGCAGCAAGGAAGAAGCATCTAGTATCTAAATACTAAGAGCTGACAAGCCAAGGTTATCAGACCATCAAAATGGCAAGAAGGAATGCCTTTACCTGAGCGCATTCTGAAAACAATCTGTAAGGTCGAGTCACGGAAAGCAGAACACAGAGAAAGGAAGGAATTTCATATTTTTAAGATACTCCTTAATTTCTACCTTTCTTTGGCAAAATATCTGAATATGTGTCAGAAGAGTAGTGTTTGAAATGCAGACCTTTTATTTTCCTTTGATATTTTTCTATAAAGAAAAACTGAAATATTTGTTCATCAAAGAAAGCATCCCTTTCTGTCATTTACTGAA